TTTCCAAGGGTACATGATAAGAGCAATGCTAAAGCAGGGGTGAGTCAAAATATAAGGAATTTTCTTATTTCTGTAATTTGAGGTTCCATCTTTTTTGGAATTTTGTGGGAGAAATACAAATGGAGTTCTCATGCTTGAGCAGGGTAGCTCAGAACAAGTCGGAGGGACAGAGCAGCTGCCCTCACTCTGCACTAAGCACCGGCCATCCTCTTGCCTTGCAGGACTTGCTCTGTTCTCCCTGGTTGCAGCAGAAATGCTGAGGGAGTCTGACATCCAGGATTACACCCTAGTTGAAATCGGGGGGTTTTCAAAAACCCCAACAGCTTTCTGCCATCCTCATTTCTTAGCCCAGGAACGCAGATGCTGACAGGCCTTTTTGCATTACAAACAGTTATGAATGACAAATTCTAACACCAACCATTGCTCCTGCTCCTGGAGTTTAGACCAACATGCTGCTGCAGAGCAGGGCTGAGTCATGCGCAGCCAGTGGGCAGAGGTCTTGCTGCTCACGGTACCTTAATCCAGCATCAACCAGGCATGGAACTGAAGGAAAATGGCAGCGTGTGTGCAGTAAAGGCAGAATTGTTGGGAAATGGCATAAGTTTTTTCTCAGAAGAGCTTCCCCATAACTGTTATTTCCTCCTTTTACAGTCCCTGTTGTCCAGAGGCAGCAAATGTCCAACGGCAGCTCCATCAGCGAGTTCCTCCTCCTGGCATTCGCAGACAGACGGGAGCTGCAGCTCTTGCACTTCTGGCTCTTCCTGGGCATCTCCCTGGCTGCCCTCCTGGGCAACGGCCTCATCATCACCGCCATCACCTGTGACCACCACCTGCACACCCCCATGTACTTCTTCCTCCTCAACCTCTCCCTCCTCGACCTGGGCTCCATCTCCACCACTCTCCCCAAAGCCATGGCCAACTCCCTCTGGGACAACAGGCACATCTCCTACTTGGGGTGTGCTACTCAGGTCTTCTTCTTTTATTTCTGTGCTGCAGCAGAGTATTTCCTTCTCACCGTCATGTCCTACGACCGCTACGTTGCCATCTGCAAACCCCTGCACTACGGGACCCTCCTGGGCAGCAGAGCTTGTGTCCACATGGCAGCAGGGGCCTGGGGCACTGGGTGTCTCTGGGCTGTGCTGCACACAGCCAACACATTTTCACTACCTCTCTGCCATGGCAACACCCTGGACCAGTTCTTCTGTGAAATCCCCCAGATCCTCAAGCTCTCCTGCTCACACTCCTACCTCAGGGAAGTTGGGGTTATGATGGTCAGTGCCTGTTTACTTTTTGTGTGTTTTGTTTTCATTGTGGTGTCCTATGTGCAGATCTTCAGGGCCGTGCTGAGGATCCCCTCTGAGCAGGGACGGCACAAAGCCTTTTCCACGTGCCTCCCTCACCTGGCCGTGGTCTCCCTGTTTGTTTGCACTTCATTTTTTGCCCACCTGAAGCCCCCCTCCATCTCCTCCCTATCCCTGAACCTGGTGGTGTCATTTCTGTACTCGGTGGTGCCTCCAGCAGTGAACCCCCTCATCTACAGCATGAGGAACCAGGATATTAAGTATTCCCTGAGGAAAGTGACTGGCTGTTTTTCAGCAGCCATAGACTGTCAACAATTCTTTGGAAATTACTCCCAGTGTATATCATGATAAATCAAACATTTATTTCCTTCCTTATAGAAATATTTTTTTCCTTTTTCATTTGTGATGATGTGGTCTCTAAAGACATTCCTTTACACCTTCCCTCCTACTTTAGTATCCACACATTTTGTGTGACTCGGGGACTTTTTCTAAAGGAGGAATCATGTACTCTGTGTCTTTAAGAAAAATAAATGAACACACCAAATCTTCTTCTTACATCAATGATTTCCAGGGCAAGAAAAAAATTTAATTTAAACACCTTTCTGGCTGCACCAGCTGAGGACTCTTCTCCTGGTCTGATCTGAAGGGATATCACGGAGTGTCTGCAGACCCCTCAGGAACTGCTGGAGAGGAGAGCAGGGGACTCAGGGTGCCCCTGACCTCCTTCTCCTTGTGCCATGGGTGCCTCCCATCTCTG